CAAGACAGAAATGGTAGTTCATGTTCAGAAAAATGTCATATGAAGCTGTTCTAGCAAAAAGTACATGGAAAAAGAAGCAGGATATACAGCAACACAAGAAAGTGGGATAAATAACCTGAAATTGATCAATGAGTCAATAATTTCCATAGTATACACTTACAGAAAGACTGTTTCCATAATAAAACGAATAGTAATGAGAGACAATTGCAGCAAGAGTGCACCCTCCATATGCAATTATCATATATCTTTTTGTTTTCTTGAATATAGATGCAGAATTTCCTCCATAAGGGCTCCCAATACATATTTGCAATAAACCCAAGACGGCTAGAACAATAAAAAAAAATATCACGGGAATGAAGAATGCCACAAGTATTCCAACATCATTTCCTCTCTTAGAATTCAGAAGAAAGAATACAAACATGCAGGCAACTGTTGTACAGCCTTGCAGAACCAAAGCTGATTCTGTGTAATCTTGTGATTCGTTTTTCCGCATTTTCTTTTGTGTTAAAAAGAAAAAGAAGAATAAGAAGGGCTGAGAAGAAATCGATGGATTGCGTACTGATGAGTTGACCTGTGCGCAGATGGTGGGTTAGGCGTGGAGAGGTAATTTGTGACAAATGCCTTATTGGCGAGACCAAAATTTGTCCCGTCCTTCATTCTTATCGACCGTCTTTGTATTCAGATTTTCGTATCCCATCCAACATGTCCTTCCCACTGTTCAAGCTTCCTTACCTTGCACTGAAAGAGGTTTTTCTCCAGATGAGAGTCTTACACGTGTAAGTTGTTAACGATTTTTCAGAAAAATCCATACTTGTGACGGGCCGGGCCGGGCCGGGCCTTGACACGAATTTCCAAGGCCCGGAAGGCCCGCTCGGCCCGGAAAATTACCGCGAATTTTGAAAAATCGACAAAAAATTTTCAAATTTCGTGCTTCAAGGTTATATTGACTTTAAAAACAGTAGTTTGAGTTTCTGAAACATGAAACACTACTTTGATGAATTTTCAGTGACAAAATGAAAATTTTTGTGAAATTTTTGAATTTTTTTCAGAAAAAAAGTTAAAATTTTTTTGAATCCGGGCCTCTGGGCCGGGCCGGGCCTTGAGAATTTAAGGCCCCGCCGAGATTTCACAAGTATGGAAAAATCATTAAACATTTTCAGAGTCGACCTCTCATTTTGCTCTCAAAAGAGTCAAAGAATTGTGAGCAAGTTGGCCCACAGGCAATACCACGCTGCCGTTCAAGCGGATTGGATCTCGTGCTTTATGGAGGTCCCTCGTCGAAACTTCAAAGATTTATATGGAATCTTCAAACCACTCTCACGGAATACTTCGTCAGAGGAAACCCAAACAAGAACTATCAATAATGTTAAAATGCCATTCAAAACGTCTCAGATGATTTTATGGGAGAATCCAGTGGAAGGGTGTCTCATCTTTTCTGGATACTTTTTCACCTTGTTTGGGAACGAGGCAATTAGGAAGATTCAGTTAAGAATTGAGACAGAGACCGACCTAGTCCTTATAGTGGAGTGGCTCCAGAAATGGAAGCCTATCATCAGGTCATTTGAAGTTATCTGGGAGAGTGAGTATGTACGAGTTCAGACTAAACTCGTGGAGTCATTGCTCCAAAACCTAAATGTCACAGAGGACCTAAAACTGCGGATTCCTTGTAGAGAATGTGTAATATCTCGGAAACTCTTATCGAAGTCTTTGGAATTGCAATCGAATTGCACTTTCGATTCTTTGTTGAATGTTGATTCTGAAGATGTTAAAATCGGAGGAATAAGCTCTTTAGATTTGAATAAATTCCTTCTGAATTGGAAGAATGGAGCATTCCAAAAATTGAAGAAACTGGAAGCAATCTTCACACTGGATTGGGCAGTCCTAACTAATGGAGTCACTAGGAAGCGGTTCAGGTAAGTTATCATAATGATAATGTTGTCCTCATTCTTTATTTATAGACATATTCAAACCTTTATGCACTTCTCGTTGGAAAACATCAATGGGGTCAAAGCAGCCATCAAGATCATTCCAGCCGACCAAGCTATAGATTGTTATCGGAAGAAGATTGAGTTTGTGGTTCAACAGGAACAACCCGATGTTATTGAATTGTGAATTCCGGGTTTTTGGGTGTTTCAATCGATTCTTTTAACCAATGAAACTTGTTATACTTGAACTTCGTTCAGATCAGTTTCATTTACCTCAAAGGCGCAAATTTACTAAAAAGTGTTCTCAAAGCGAGAATCCATGAGTGTTACCCTATGTTATAACTAATCTGGTGTTACCCTATGTTATAACTAATCTTATTAATTTCTAACGCTTTTCAAAGCATGAAATTGACTGTACCCTCGTTCCGTTCTTTAAATTCTTCGAAACATTGTGTGTCGTCGATTAAAATGCATCGTCCGCAAGTAACGTCACGTCGAATTGCGGACGGTGACTTTTGAGAAATATTTTACTCGAAAAATTTTTTTCCGTTTTTTTTTTGTTTCAATTATTCAATCAAAACACATCTGCATTTGTTCTACTTTTTGTTATATTTGATCTATTTCGAACTGCCGCCAAAACCTACGCGGCTGCGGTCGCGTTGCAGTTCAATTTTTCAGCAATTTATTCCATTACTTTACTACTTTTTCCCAATTTTTCGACACGAGTTTTTGTGTGATTTTGTGTATTCTTTGTTAAAAATTGTGCACGCTTTTCTATTTTTCATGCGGCGGTATTTTTGGTGGTCCACTAGAACCTTATTACTTGTTTTCAGCCAACGCCACCAGAACCGTCGACGAGCAACTATCTTTGCAGAAGACGGTCGAGGATCAATCCAAGCTGCTCGCGGGATACGAAGAACAAGAAAGGGTATGGGAGACGGTTAAGAAAGAGCTAAAGCGCATCACGAAGAAATTGAGGAAACGAACCGAAAAGATTGAGGTGGCGGGTGACGCAAGTGGAACGAAAGAGGAATGCCTGCAGCTGCTGACAAAGATGGAGGGTATTTTTGGGATCAAGAAGTGGCGATGGTACAAGTACTGTGATTGGAAGTTCTGGATCCCTTACGTCGTTGGTGTCTGCTCTAGTTTCACCATCGTCTTGTCGCAGTTCAACCACATGACGACTCATCATTTCTTCCCATTCGCCGTAATCTACGCTTCAGCGTTAGTTTTCTAGGGGAAAAAAGTCGTAATACCAGATTTTCAGTTCCTTTGGCTTCTCAACGATGAGCTCAGTGATATGCGACACCCACGATTACTTGGAGAGATGGGTAAGTTCTTTTCTCTTCTGATTTCCAGCATGCACTGGTGTGCGGGGGCTTTATGGTTCGTTCCCCGGCTGTTGTTTTTTTATTTGCCTAAATTATTTTTCCAAAAATTCTGCCCACAGAACCGTTTTCAAAACCCGAACACCATCTCCAGACCAGGAGGTGCCTAATTGGTTCTTTTGGCCCTTCATCGTAATAATAATCGATTCAAGAGATATTTTTAGCGCAGGCCTAGTCAAAGTCAACTGTATCATTTTCAGGTTCCGTTCAGGCAGTCACAGCTTCCCAAACACCGGACAATGCTCAAAACAGACAGAGCTCTCGCCGACAATCAAGAGGCTTCCACAGGAGATTCGCCATACTGGGAACTCTCAAAATACGCTGTTCTTTTCACCTTTGGAATTATCGTAGGTAAGATCCATGCTTTCTTTTTGCTCACTAGAAATTCAGTGCGTTAGGAAGCAAAAGTATAAAAATTATCTATTTTCAGCCAAAGCCCCGGGATTCCACGTGGACACTGAAAAATACGCGAAGCTCTTCTTTGCCGGTTTCTTTGTCCTCTCCGTCATCGTCTTCTGTTACTTCCATGGCTATGGAATTAACATAGATGACAAAATCATCCTCATTCTCATTGGCTGTCTGGGATTAGGAGCAAAAGCGTTTAAGTGGGTTTTTAGAGCGAGAGATCGTATAAATTGATAGTTTTCAGTCAATACGACCTCCGATGCAAGATGATTCCTGTTGCACCTCGTCCCGTCGCCGTCTGATTGGGTCCGTGCCCCGTACTTCCATGCCCCTTTGCCCCGATTATCTCCTATTTTTCTCCCTGTCAGTTCATATCCCAATTGTCTGTTCATTCATTTTTTCGTTTCATTTCTCCCCCAGTGTTTTTAGATTTCCCTTTTTCTAGACCTCCTGTGATTCTATGTCCCCGATATTCCCATTCTCCCCCACTATTTTTATCCCCCTATTATTTCCATATTATCATTTTTCTAAGTTTTCAGTGATTTTCTATTCCCCCACGGTTCCTATTTTCCCCCAGTATTTTCATCATCTTTCTAGTTTTTTTTTTCTATTTTCCCTATAGTCCTTCCCCCACTTCCCTTTCCCTTGAGTAGAGGGGTTGTCTTATATTATACTTTGGGAGCCATTTCATTCATAAAATCTTTAAAAATAACTCTTCTTCGCTGGCTTGAGTACAGCTGGATGCTGAACAGGAGTCCCATTTGGATGAACCATTCCCGCACTACCTCCATGATGATGGTGATGATGATTCGACCCTTTTTTCGAGTGTGACGACGCCTCCATCTTCTCCTTATGTTTATCCTTGCTCTTTCTTTGAGTTTTCTGAGTCGTCGTGGTGGTCGCCGAGTTTTTGGATTTCGAGTGCTTCTGCTTTTTGAAAGTTTCACTGTTTTTGTTGGTCTTCGGCTCCAATTCTTTGACTGGATCCTTGGATTTAGCCTCTCGATCTGTCAAACGACGTCTCGATTCTCCTTTCGATTCTTTCGATCTCTCTAGTTTTTTCTCTTTTTTGGATTTCGATTTTGCCTCTTTCTTATTCTCCTCTTCAACTTTCTTCTTCTTTCTCTCACTCTCTCGCTTCTTCTCTTCCTCATCCGTTTTCTTCTTTTCTTCAGCTGTATGAGCGGCGGCTGCGTCAGTCTGGGCAAGGAGGGCCTGGAAAGTTGAGAATTGTGGAAAACCCGTAGTAATGTCTACGCCCTTTCAACGCGGCGTAGTTGTGGTTAACGTAGCGCAGTGGTTAAGACCGTTGTTTTGCAAATTTTCGATGCAGGTTCGATTCCCGCCGGTGTCAAAACTTTTTGTTCTTTTTTTTCTAAAATCGGAATTGGGAGAAGCGCGATTCACTCTGGTTTCTGTCCCAAAATAAAGCCCAAAAAACTTACATCAGCTCCAACAGATCCCCATGGAAGTTTTTGTAGTGGTTTGACGATGAACTGCTCTCCACCCGGTGTATCCCTCTGTGGATGCGGACGGAATTCATCTTCAAACATCTGCAATGTCTGCTTCTCATCCATCAACTTCTCCAGAGATCGTGGCTTTTTTTGATACTTCTTTTTGACGACGTCTATCCCGTTGTCCTTCTTTTTTCGGAGCTCATCATAGTCCATTGGATCCGTGTGTTTCGCTTTGATGTCAGTCATCTGTTTCGCCAAGACTTCATAGATGAGCCAGTAGTCCGGACGATCGGCGTAGTCCAATTTCTTCAGATGTTCGTGGATCGGTTCGAAGGCGATGGTCAATCTGGAAACTTTCTCTTAAAACAGTCATTTGCCTTAAAGGCGCATGGCAAATTTCCTAAATTCGCAAAATTCAAAATAGGTACAGTAATCTTCAATCGTGACGAGACCTTTACAAAAACATTTGCACGCGCCTTCAAAATTAAAAAAAAACCCACGGTGAGCTGGCGAGTGTTCCATCAAATTTATCCTGCTTCAACACCTCAATCCTATCGGGATTCACGACATCAGCCCATGGAAGGTTCACTCTCAACTCCACAATCATGTAGAGCCATGCGAAGAGATCATCCACACGACCTTGCTCTTTGCGGAGATGCATACGTGGAGAGCAGTAACGATAGGTTCCACGGAAACGGCACTGAAAAAAAATGATGGGTGTTGTTTTGGAGTTCTAGGCCATGTGTGTGAAATCTAGGCCACCATTTGCAATTATAGGCCTTTGCTTGAAATTTTCGGTCATGGTTTGAAATTTTAATTCAACCTTTGGAATTCTAGGCTATCATTTGGATTTCTAGGCCATCAAATAGAAATCTAGGCCATCATGTGCAATTCTAGGGTGAAATTTGAAATTCTAGGTCATTATTTCAATTGTAGGTCCAATTTTGGAGTTCTAGGCCGTTGTTTGGATTTCTCTTCCATGGTTTGGAATTCTAGGCCACCATTGGGAAACCTAGTCCATCACTTTAAGTCCTAGGAAAATACGTTTGAAATTCTATATCATTCTTTTGAATTCTAGACCTCCATTATGAATACTACGGTCTCATTTGAAATTCTAGGCCATCATTTGAAAATCTAGGCCACCATACGTAATTTTAGGGTAAAATTTGAATCTAGGTCACTTTTTTTAATTGTAGGTCCAATTTTGGAGTTTTAGGCCATTGTTTCGAATTCTAGGCCACCAGTTGATAATAAAGGCCACCAGATGAAGATCTAGGCCACCATTTAGAATTCTAGGCCTCGTGGGCCTTCAAGGTAAAGAAGACTTACCGAATCTCGAGGATGACGAATAACAAATTTTTTCTTATTGTTATTTTCGTCAATATACATTCCGAACTGTCGACCCATTCCAAAATCAATCAAGTAAATGATGGGAGACTCTTCATTGTGATCCAGAGTGACATTGCACGGTTTTAGGTCACGATGGATGTAGCACTTCTCATGGAGCTGGAAATTCAACATGCCTTTCTATTAGAGGAACTCGAAAACTCACTGTTTTAACCGCCAACAAACTGCGAATCGCGATACGAAGAATCGTCGAATCGGATAGTTTCCCATTCAAACAATTATAGACTTTTTGCAAATCCATTCCACACAAAGTCATCACCACATATCGAAACTCTCCTTCATTCCCGGCATCCAGGTACTGAATTGAGTTCTTTGCACCGACCATCGCCTTCAGCACCTCCACTTCGATCTTCAGAACTGATTCCTGACCCTCTCCGGCTTTCTCCAGTTTCATCGCCGCATCCGATCCGTCTTGGGTGTTGATGACGTGCACCACTTTTCCGAACGCACCTGATCCGAGCACTTTTACCGGGTGCCATTTGCCGCGGATAGCCTGCAGAAAGCGAGATGTTTATATAGGGCCCTCCTCTCCCTTTCTGCTTGTTGACCCCGTGGCGCAGTGGGTAGCGCGCTTGTTTTGGAAATTTGCATCGGGGGTTCGACTCCGCGAGGTGGCAAATCTTTTTTTTCTTTGTTTTTTTTTAGTTTTTTCTTTTAACTCACCGTATCCATATCCAGTTTAAGACTCGGTTGTTTCTCATCACTTGCCATTTTGGCTATGAAAACCTTTTCGAAATGCCGCACAGAAAGTGAAGTAGACTAGACAGTTTAGAAAAATGTGTACTGAATTTTTCGGAGGTTTTTTTGAAATTTTACGTGTAGTTTTTTTTTTTTTTATAACGTGGAATTTTGGAGGGCAGGTTGAGGGCAGAGGGAAATTGAAAATTGTGAAAAAAAAAAATGAAAAAACGTGAAAAATTTGAAGAAAATCTGCAATTTGACGTGACGGTGTATGCTGGGATAGTGTTTGCAGACTTGGCACCATATCTCACGAGATTTCTGAATTCTAGGCTACTATTAGGATTTCTAGGCCATCTTTTCGATTTCTAGGCCACTATCCGGATTTCTAGGCCATCCTTTCAAATTCTAGGCCACCATTTGGAATTATAGGCCTTTTATCATGGAATAAAAGATTAGAAGAGCTCGTTGAGCCTCCGCCTCCGTCAGCAGCTTCCAAGAAAATCACAGGAAAGTGGGCGGAGCCTGAGGATTATTCCAGAATATCCAGAAAAGTGTGTCTACAAACAAATCTCATCATTACTCATGGTCATTTTTGATCGTGAAACATATGGAAAACGAGATTTCCAGGCAGGGCATAATTTTTTAGGCAAACAATAATTACGTTTTCCTTTTTTTTTCTCCGCTTTTTCCGAACGTTTTCCTGCTTCCAGGGACAGGAATAGTTGGGGTCTACTGGTATAAAAAGTGTCGAGAAATGACGAATTGAAACAGACTTCCGCTGAAATTTTATTGAGCTGAAAAAAATCTGACAATATTCTGAAAATGCTGAAACTATCCGATGGTTTTGGGTGAGTAACCCTTGAATCCAGCAATCAAAATGAAGAAAAAAACTTTAGAAATGTACTATACTAGTTCTTCCTCCCATGATCTTTTAGGCAATTTTATGACTTTTTGGGTTTATATAAAACTGTTTTGATGTGTTTTTGAACGTCTTCTTTTACTTTTTTTTTAGTTTTGGAATGTTGTTTCATTTGGTGACCAAATAGAATTTTGAAGTGTTTTTGACACCAGTATTTTTGGAGATTGGTGATCAAATTCACATTTTTTGGTTTTTTTTTTTCACAAAAAATGTAGAATTGAAATTGAAATGGATTACTGTAGTTTTGGACAGAATTGGAAACAGTTTGAACAAAACTACAAAAAAGAAACTATGATCGGTCTAGAAATTAGCTCTACTTCCCCCTCCTCCACAAAATCGCGATTGTTTCGCCGTGACAATTTGTTGTCCAAAAATGTAACGCTTTTTGAAATTTTCCAACTTTGAGCATCTCCAGGTTAGCCATTTTTGGAGATTTTGATCTGGATTTTTTGGGGTGCACTGGAAACCGCTCTGGGTTTCTGGTGCAGTTTTCGGTGTTACGATCTGACCACTCTGGACCCAGATATTTCAAGGAAAGTACGTTGCGAAAAATGCAAAAATTTTGGAGTACTGAAAATTTCGCTAAAATCTTTTTATTTAATTTTTAGTTGCTTCAGTTTGTGAGGTTTTGATGTGAAAACTGGCGAGCATAACAAACTTCGGGAAAGCTATTGATTGAGCTGAAAATTGAGTGAATTGAGAATAAACTGAGAATGTAGGCCATAAAACAATAGGCGAAATTTACCTCTGAAAAAGTTTTTCAATTCTTTCTACGAATTATTACGTTGACCTCAGGTCAAATTTGCTCCTCTCTCTCTCTTTTGAGAAAAAACTGAAAAAAGAAGCGTGTTTCATTTCTAAAAAAAAGTATTTGGAAAATTGCAAAACAGCACCGCAGGTCCTCAACAGATGTCTAGTCATAGTTTGCAGCTTCATATCTCGATTTCCAAGGAAAATACAAAAAAATTGTCAACTAAGAAAATATTCAAATTTTGATTTTGAGCAATTTATTAGTTGACGTTTTTTTGCTGTCTCTGCTTCCACACGGCGGGGCAAAAGCAACGTTGGCCGTTAAATTTCTTGCATTTGATACTCAGTTTGAGCTATTGCGTACCTCTGCGGACTTTTCAATCTACCGTAGTCCGCGCAGACGAAAATAAGAAAATTCAATGCTAATCTTAGAATTGCTGGTTGATAGGAAGTTTTTATCAAAATTTGGAAACTATCAAAATGTTGTGCACGTTTTGAAGTCACTATAAACGAATTTTCAGAAAAATTGTAGGTTTAGTTTTTGAGATATAATTTTTTGAAAAAATGTAAACTGAAATCTCGTCGTCCCAGCAACTGAGCAAATTTTTATTGAAAAACTTCGATAAATCGCTTTGATTTTTCTATCAACTTGCTCTTTTCAATGTAAAACCTTGTCTCCGACTTCGAAAACAGCAGAAAAGCAAGTTTTACTAATTCGGAAAAAAATATACCGTAAATCCTGTATTTGACGCACATGTGCGTTTGTTTTTCAGATAAGTTAGGAGAGTGTGCGTATATTACAGGTGTGCTTCTAATACAGTGTGGGCTTCCATTTTTCGATCAATTTTTCTAGAAAAAATTGTATTTTCCGGTCGGTCCATAACAAAAATTTCGGATAAATTTCATCAACTTTTTTTGGAAACTGCTCAAGAAAATGTTCAATTTTTACTTAAAATTGTCAAAAACATCAATTTTCATCATTTCGATCCAAACTAACACAGTGAAACGTCACTTTATCAAGAAAATCGTCTTTTCTGAAACTCGTTCGCGATCCCGGACCAAGTATGACGACGTATAAAAGCAGTAAAACGTGTTTTCAAAACGGGATGTGCGTTTATATCAGGATGTGCGCTTATTACAGGTGTGCTTCTATTAAAGGGTGTGCGTATATTTTTCGTAGGGGGTTTGAGGGTGTGCGTCTATTACAGGTGTGCTTCTAATAAAGGTGTGCTTCAAATACAGGATTTACGGTATTTGAATTTCGCGGCGCGCCTCCTCGCGGACTAGAAATTTCGCTGCGCCGGCCGCACGTTCCCTTTGCCCCGCCGTGTTCCAATTGAGATACAAAGCTTCAAACAAAAAATACCGCCCATCAGCAGTTTATCAAGCTGGACCTTACAGTTTGACGCTCTATATCTCGATTTCCATTGAAGATAGAAAAAAGTTGTCAACTAATGAAATGTTTAAAATTGCATGGTAAACAACTTTCCAATTGACAATTTTTTGATATCTTTACTTCTGATCAAGATACTGCGCGTCAAATTGTAAAGATGTTGAGTGCTCGTCCTAGGGCGTCTCCTGGGTAACTTATCTATGACGCTTTGTATCTCAACTCATAAAAAAGATAGAAAAATTTTTTTGATTAATAAAGTGTGTAAAATTGCATTAAAAACATCCCTTTAGTTGACGACTTTTTCATATCTCTATTCTCTATTCCTAACTAAGCTAAGACATAGTCAGTTATACGGTGAGCATTTTTTTCCAAAAATACAGAAAATTGTGTTCCGTTAGACCTCCAAATCTACAGAAATGAATGCCTTTCTATTGCAGGGCATTACAAAACCAAAAAACAACAAAGTTGATGGTCACTCCCTCCTCTCCCATGTCTAGTTTTATACGTATACTTTGTGGTTTCCCGCCACACTTGAAAAAAATGTTTGTTTTTTTTTTCAACTGTACCTGACCCTCCAAAATTTGAAACCAGTAATATTTTTATTCGTCCCTTCCTTTTTCTCGCCCCCTCCTCTTTCCATTTCCAGTCAGACTTCATTTTCAGATAAAATCTCATTTTCCCTTTTGTCACCTCTCTTTCTCTGCGTCTCTTCATCTCCTGCACTCTCTCTGTTTGGCTTCTTCATGGTATTTCAATAGTATTTCGGAAACTGACGCATAATTGGAATTCACAAAAGAGAGAAGGAGAGATTCGGTATGGAAATAGTTCTTTTGTCTGTGTTTGGCTTCTGCCATCTACCCGTCACAATTAGTTCGAGTACGTGACTCTACTCCCCTCCTCTGCCCGTTATACTGATGATGTTTATTAATTGTTTCCGCTTTAAGTCTAGAAGATCCATGATCAAAGATTAGAATTGTTTTGGTTTTCTCCAGAGAAAACTAAAAAAAAAATAACAGAGTTTTGAGATGGTCCAAGTTTGATAGTCCATATCTTGGCTAGAAATGGAGATATCGAAAAATTTTCAACTGAAAAGTTGTAAAGCAGGCAATTTTACAAATTCCGTTATTTAACGACTTCTTTGTATCTTTCCTGGGAGTCGAGATATGGAGCCCCAAAGATAAGTAGCTCAGGAGCGGCACCAGTACGAGACGCGCGGCATATATAGCACTTTTAGAGTTTGGCACACCGTTTCTCGGTTAAAATTAGAGATATCGAAAAGTTGTTAACCATGTGATTTTGCATATTTTGTTAATTGCAACTTTTGTGCATCTCTCTTGCGAATTGAGATGTGAAGCTTCAAAGATAAGTTATCCAGGAGACGCTCTAGGACAGGTAACCAGCCACTTTATAGTTTGAGGCACCGTGTCTTAGTTAGGAGTAGAGATATCAAAAAACTGTCAACTAACAAGTTCTTTGCCTTGCAATTTTGCATATTTTGTTAGTTTAAAACTTTTTTGTATCTTTTATGACAGCCGAGATATGGAGCCCCAAAGATTAGTATCCCAGGTGACACCCATAGAGCAGGTAGTCCGCTCCTTCACCGTCTGACGATCCGCATCTTGGTTAGGAATAGAGATATCAAAAAATTGTCATTTACAAATCTGTTAATCATGTAATTTTACATATTTTGTTAGTTGAAAACTTTTTTGTATCTCTTATGATAGCCGAGATATGGAGCTTGAAACAATGAGAGCTGTTCGGAGGCTAGGTTATTTTCTAGAATGATCAGAATTCATAGTTTGTAGTCTTCGTAGTATTTTTTTTGTTCACTTATTGAGTCATTCCTTTTTTAGAGAGTTGACATACTCAATGCT